TTTATATTTTTGTGTAATGGAAACCTAACAGTTAATGAAAAGGTAAGAATAGTATCAGGAGTCAAAAGAATACCAATGATTTAGTAGGATGCTTTAGGAACATAGGCCAAGTATCAGAGATAATATTCCACATATCCTGCAGGTGGCCCAAGATACTTTGCACACAGAAAGCCTAAACCTTTACTCTGCGAGTAAAGACTTTATAAAGAAATAGGGAGTTGTAATCCTTTCCAATCATTCCAGAAACAACAAATTAAAAAATACAAATAGAAAAATATAAATTGAGTAAGGATTTGTTTTATACATACTATCACCTTCAAGGTCCCTTCTCTTCTCTCTCCCTCTACACACACACACACACACACAGAGCTATTGCTAAAATTGCCTTCTCTGCTAGTGACAGGTTAGGCTCAGGGGAATTTGTATGCATTTTGATGTGTTTCTTTCAGCCCTCATTTTCAAAGGAATAAAGGGACAGCTTCTTCCTCTAGTGATAATTCAGGTTATAGATATGATTGACTCCTTAGTTACATATGCTATGATAATAATATACAGTATAATGATTGGAATCCAATAAGTTTCTTAAAGAATATGTAAGCAACAAGACCAAACCACCAACTTACAAAGTAATTTTGCGAAGTAAACTCAGTGTCTCTGTGTGTATTGGTATTTACTGTTGCAAAGTTAATTATGAAATCCCCTATTTGGTGAGAAGATTGGAGGAGGGACCCCAGAAGTTTTTAAAAATATATATACATATGGTAACCTTTAAAAATAAAGGCTAAAAATAATAAATTGACAAAAAAATTGTACTAAAAGAGATATACCTGTGATGGGAATGTTCATATTCAGTGGGTAAGTGGTAAAATTTAAGTGCTACAAAACTCTAGGGAGATGATTAGTTCAGGAAACAGAAAATAAGAGTATCCATGTTTTTGCCCACATGGGGCATAATTTCATACAAGGGCCTAATCTGGAGGTAATTCCTTGTGATAACTGGGAACAGAATTTGATGATTTCTACTATCACTGTCAGGAAGCAAAAGCAGGGGAATTTTACTTGCCCCAAATAATGTGTAACACATCTACAGTGGAGATATGCAGGGCTATACCTAGAAAAAAGTGAAAATATTTAAGTAGGTATTATTAAAATATAATAGGAGGCTGCAAATCTCTGTAGAAATACCAATTTATTCTGGCTAATAAATACTGAACTCTGAGCTATATAGAAACAGGGCTTGAGGAATTCTGACAGAAAGTAATAATAAAATGATCCCAGGGTAGGAAGCTCATGCGAGCATAAGCAGCCAGGAATATCAGAAGGAATTAACAAAGAGAAGAAAAACAGGTGAAATCCAACAAACCGTTACTTTGTCCCCTCTTGTGACTGACATTTGGAGTTATTCGGCAAGTAGGGAATTGGAAATCATTATTAGTGCACCTACTGCTTATCAGATTGTTTTTTATTAGTTTCGGTAAGTTTTAGAGTACTCTATTCATAATGAATTCATCCTTCTTTTCAGCTTTTTTTCTTGTCCTGGTACAGAAAAAATCAGCCCCTGACCATTGAGAGCAGGTCTGGATCTGTCAGCTCCCAGGATTTTATTTTGCTGACTCAGTCCTGGCGCTCACAGCTAGACTGTGATGTGTTGCCGATGAACATAAACTATTTCACAGAACACTGACATCAGACAAGGCTATTGTATGACTGTGATTGATCTAGATAAAAACAAGCCCATCTGTAATCAAGTTGGAGCACAAACAGAAACCAGAACTTTGTCCAAACCACAGATATGCCAAGTAACCCCTGAGCTATTCTGAGTGACTCCTGCTTCCTGAGAAATTATTTCTTTAACAGAGTTTTATTTTCCTTCCTTCTAGATGCATAATTGTTATAGTCACCTTTCACCAACACCAGAGAGGTGTCACTGGACAGCCCCCTGAGTTAGTGGGAGAGGGCTATGCCAAACCCCTTTCCTTGTCTTCCCATATAAATACATTTATATGAGGGACTTGGTGCTGTGAAAAGCCAATTTACTAAAGCAATTAAAGCATGCACCTTTATTAAAGAAGCAACGCAAGCAAACCTATACATCTCAGCTAATCTGAAGAGCAGGTTGGGTGGGAGTCGGGGGCGTTAGAGACGCTCGTATCTATAGGCTTCAAAATTCCTCTGCTGACTGTTTTGGCACACACTAACTCTCAAGGTCCCTTTTTACTTTTTTTGTCGTCTTCCAGGAAATCATGAGAAGCAACTTTGTCTTGCCAAGCCTTGAACTGCTGGCTTCTTTGCTTAGGGAGTAAGACTGCACTTTTTTCCTTTTTGCAGTTTTACTCTCTAAGCATTCTGCATTCTCCCCTCTCTTTCTGCATTCTTTCATTAGGGAGGATTTTTAACTGTTTGTTCTCCTGTTCTTGGCTGGGGAAGGTAATGGTTATTATTTACAAGTTGGCTGCCAATTGCTCACACTGTCTGGCCTTGTTTTAAGTTTCCTTCTCAGTTTCCTTTTCCTCCTGCCCTGGAATCCTGTAACATATTGATATACTACTGCTTCTTCCTGACCAGATAGAATCATAACAAAGACTCTTTTCCTTGACCTCACTCCTAAAACATATAACGCAAACCCAAATCCTAGAAGTTCTTTCTAACATTGCACCCTCTTTCCCCACAATGTGAGGTCACCATTGTATGGTTCAATACACCAACTTAAGTGAATATTTAGTGGTATTTGGCTAGAGGGCATTGACAGACATCATAAAGAGAAAGCCATTATAAGTTTCCCTTCCCCGTCCCCCTGATGTCATAGAAAATACAGAATAATTTGCTTACTCATTATAGTCAAGATTCTGGTGCTTGAGAGTGGCTTACCTAGTTATCTATTAATTCATGGATGCATGTTTCTTAATGATTAATAGGCCTAAACTATAGTGCTGATGTGCAGATATTTGTAATTCGTTGACTCCCTGCATTCCTCATATATGAATGTATACTATTCCAAGTAAAACCTTACTATGTTCTTAAATAAATAATAGTCACTAATTTTTACAAAAAGATTCCAAAAAAATTGATGCTTTTGAAAAATAAAGGAAACTAATACAGTAAGTTCTGATGTAATGCATTTTTTTTTTTTGCCCCAAAAATGGCTCACCAAAAAATTTAAGAGAGCCTGTGTATGATTCCTGCCCATGCATTTTAATGACTTAGTTTTGGTAACCTATTTTCAAAGTCTGTGCAGAGCATTTGAGACACTGTGATTTGTCCCTTTCACACCCACTTGTCAGGTTATTTTTTATTCCACAGATTATTTAAAATTTCACATTTGTACACCTTTAGAGAGGAAGTGAAGCATAGAAATACAACATGGCTTCACAGGTTGGGCATGTACGCTGGAGTAAGACTGCCAGGCTTAGAATGCTCCATCTATCATGTAACCTCGTCAAAATTATTTTTCATCTATATATCCAATTAAGAGATATGTTAATTAAATTTTAATATCAACTGCAGCTATAAACTATAAAATACACAGGAATAAATTTAAGAAGAATCCATAAAATATTTCAGAGGAAAACACTTAAACTTTACATAAAGACAGTAATTGCATATGAATTCATAGAGACACAAAGACAGAAAATGTTAATAATATAAAGACACCACACTCTACAAAATAATGCCAGCCAGGACTGATTGGATATATGGTTGTATAGATATGTTTAAATGTATTAATAATAAATTATAGAATTAGAGACTTTTTATTGAGTAATATGTTAAATTTATATTATATTCCAAAAATATGGGGCTAATATGAAGGAGCAATACTGGGTGGAGGCAGATTTTATAGGTTATTATTTAATTAATTTCATATGGTATTCATACTAAACATATCTATCGAGCAGCTTTTCAATGTGCAATTAATTGCATGCAATTGCATAAAAGTTCGTGGATCACCTATTATGTTCTGGCCCAGATGTCGGCAAACTGCAGCTGGCGAGCCACATGCGGCTCTTTGGCCCCTTGAGTGTGGCTCTTCCAAAAAATACCACAAACTACCACGTGTGGGCGCACATGTACAGTATGATTGAAACTTTGTGGCCCATGCACAGAAGTCAGTATTTTTTGGAAGAGTCACACTCAAGAAGCCAAAGAGCTGCATGTGTGGCTCACGAGCCGCAGTTTGCTGACCACTGTTCTGGCTCAATATAGTTTCATAAGAGGATTTTTCTTCCTCAAAAGGTTTAGTGTATTAAATTCCATCAGTGAAAAAATTGCAAACAAGTGACTACTTTCTTAGAATTATATATTATACTAGAGGCCCGGTGCACAAAAATTTGTGCACCCCGGGGGGGTACCTCAGCCCGACCTGTGCCCTCTCGCAGTCTGAGACCCCTCGGGGGATGTCCACCTGCTGGCTTAGGTCTGCTCCCTGGGGGATTGGGCCTAAGCTGGCAATCAGACATCCCTCTGGCAGCCCTCGGGGGATGTCCACTTGCCAACGGGGAGCAGGCCTAAGCTGCAGTCGGACATCTTTAGTGCTGCTGAGTAGGCGGGAGAGACTCCCACCACCACCGCTGTGCTGGCAGCCATTAGCCTGGCTTGTGGCTGAGCAGAGCTCCCCCTGTGGGAGTGCACTGACCACCAGGAGGCAACTCCTGCATTGAGCATCAGGAGTGGTCAGTGTGTGTCATAGTGACCAGTCATTACCAGTTGTTCTGCTGTTAGGGTCAGTTTGCATATTACCCTTTTACTACATAAGATAGAGGCCTGGTGCATGGGTGGGAGCCTGGTGGTTTGCCCTGAAGGGTGTCCCGGATCAGGTGGGTGTCCTGCTGGGGTGCCTGGCCAGCCTGGGTGAGGGGCTGATGGCTGTTTTCAGGCTGGCCACACCCCCTTTAGGGTGGGAGTCCCCACTGAGGTGCCTGGCCAGTCTGGGTGAGGGACTGAGGGCCATTTTCAGATTGGCCAAGCTCCCTGGCGACAGAAGCTCCCAGCCTTCCCTTTTTTTCTTTTTAATTCTGGGATTTATTTACCTCCTATAATTGAAACTTTGTTGCCCTTAGTGGAGCTCAGAGCTGTCTGTGGCAGGCTGGAAGCTTGGCTTCCGCCATCACTGGAGCAACCAAGACTCCTGCTTGCTCCAGCTCCATGGCCATGCTGGCGGAAAGCAGGTATCTGATGTTTATTTATCTTCTATGATTGAAACTTTGTTGCCTTCAGTGGAGCTCAGAGGTGGCCTCGGCAGGCGGGAAGGTTGGCTTCCTTCATCACTAGAGCAACCAACCTCCTGCTCGCTCCAGCTCCGTGGCTTCCGGTCTCCATCTTGGTTGGGTTAATTTGCATATAGTCACTCTGAATTGCTGGTGGGCATGGCTTAAGGCATAGCCAAGGTACAGTCAATTTGCATGTTTGTGTTTTATTAGATTAGATTGCTGCACAGTGGAGGACATCACTACATACTAGGGGTAGGCAAACTTTTCCCCTACCAGATAGTAAATATTTTAGCTTTGTGGGCCATGAGATCTCTGATTCAACTTTATTCTGCTCTTTTACTCTGAAAGAAACCCTGGCTAACATATAAATGAGTAACATGCTGTATTTCAATGATGCTTTTTTAGAAAAATAAGCAGTGGGAAGGACTTGGCCTGCAGGACATAGTTTACCAAATCTAGTAAGAGAATATAAAAAGTTTTAGGGATTTGCAGCTGCTACTACTTAAACCTAACTTTTGGAAAAATACATTTTACTTCTTTACAAGTTAGAATACTCTTTTAGATTCTTTAAAATAAGAGTAGACTATAGCTTTTATCCTTCTCAATTTAACAATGATATCTTCACATCCCAAACACAATGTATGTTAATAAATACAACTCTAGGGTAAAGAGTCATTCAAAATTTTAAGTTTATCAATATTATTTTTGTCTGTATTGCTGCAACTTTTCCAAAGATAAGAAAGGAAGCTCCAATCTCCAGTTTATGAACAAGATAAAAATGACTCATTACTATGTACTCTGATATAAATATGAAAACAAAATCTGTGGTATATAAAGTAACTTGTTATAAGACATTTTGTGATATTATATGTTTAAAGGAGAGGAAAGAAATGGTATTCATATACAAAGTGAATCCTTCATAATTGCTTGGGAAAAGGCTTATGATAAAAAACAAAACAAAACATAAAAAAACAAAACACTTTACCTATAGTGATGTAAGATATATTAGATCAAAGGCATTAAGAAATTACTTGTTTTTATTGAATAAACATTTTGTGAGCTTTAATGAAAATATTACTATATTCAACTATTGCATCTCTTATGAGTTAAAGTAGATGTAATTTATATTTTTTAAAGATAGTTATGTTCCCTAGGTTTCAGCCCCTGGGTGGCAGATTAATTCTTTGTATGAGTTCTTCCAGTTGAATTACCACAACTTGCTTTCCTTTCTTCCCGATAGTGTCCCAGGATGTCACACATGTTTTCTTGATAGAGAATCAATACTTGCACTTCCATTGCTTTACACTTTGCTCTTGAATGCTGGTCGCTGTCAATTTGGCTTGTGTGGCTGTATGCTCACTGTATTCTCACCACTGACCTTAGTCATTATCCTCTCTCGACTTTAGTAATCGTGTTTGCAGAGGAAGGTGTATGCTGGAATTTCCCCCTCCATATCTATTCTTCATCTTCCTGGACCCCGAGAGTTTGATCTCTGTATACGACAGTACCAGGACTTCTTTGCTGGCTGCCTTCCAGTTAGGTTTAACCAGTGGGAGGAAAACAAAACAAAACAAAAAACCCAGCAGGAGTTTGACTATAAGACAGGTCAGAAGGCTTTTAGTCTGCCCTGTTTTTCTCAGCAATGTATTGCTTGCAGTAGTCACCCTATAGGGCCACCCCTCACCTGGCTGGTCACTCCCACACAGGTACAGTTATCACTGGGCTCCAGCCGCACAGTCTCCTCACTCTGCTCCTTAAATCCTAACAGCCACAAAGGCTGCTGGTCTTTTATTCGCTTTATGCTGCCCACCACACACTTACGTCTTCTCGTTCTTAACATTTCATTTGAAATATCTGTAAATTCTCTCTTTATAAAATTTTCAATAAAATGTCTTGATGTAAGATTTAGAGTTCTTCATGAAATTAGAACACTGCTTTTATTAAATGTTACTGCTGTCATACTAAAGTTTCATTTAGTATTTCGTCTTAAGTGGAAATGTTTTTATAACATAAGATTATATTGTAGCTAAAAGCTAGGAGAAATCATTTCCTTACTGAGTGACTTAACAGTGTGTAATAGCTGGGTACAACAACTTGGAGACAACCCGTGAAATGGATTGCATTCCTCCCCCCCTCCCCCCCCCCCCCACCCGCCACAATTCTTTTATCACTCTTCATTTTTTAAAATATATTTTATTGATTTTTTACAGAGAGGGATAGAGAGTTAGAAACATCAATGAGAGAGAAACATCGATCAGCTGCCTCCTACACACCCACTACTAGGGACATGCCTGCAACCAAGGTACATGCCCTTGACCGGAATTGAACCCGGGACCCTTCAGTCCGCAGGCCGATGCTCTATACATTGAACCAAACCGGTCAGGGAAATCACTCTTCATTTTTAGCCTGATACACTGTGGGTAGAATATACATTTCTACCCCATTGGACAGTGGAAATTTAAAAGAGGCCTCAGTGTACTTGCAAGGTTTTTCTTGTCTACTTGTGTTCCTGCCATTCACTATGATAAGATTCACTTCATGTAGTTACTTCTCTCAGAATGAGAACCACATGGGGCTCCTCTGATATAGACCTACTGCCTTGCACTGAGTTGCCCACCTAGAACAGCGAATTTTCAATCTTTTTCATCTCATGGCACATATAAAACAATTCCTAAAATTCTGTGGCACACCAAAAATATATATTTTTCAGATTTGACAAAAAATATCTAAACTTTTGATTCATTCACACTGGACTGCTATTGTAGTGTTGGCTGTTGTTTTTTTTTTTTAAATTTGACAATCTAAGGGAAAAGAGGTCAGTGTCCCTGACTAAATAGTCAGGTATCACATGTTCTAAAAATTCTTGCAGAACACCACTTGAAAATCACAGCCCTAACTCACAGACTGTACAAAAAAAACAGTGCTACTTTTTAAAAGCCATTGGAATTTTGGAATTGTTAGTTACACGGCATAATCACAATATTAGAATAATACAAACCCATTCTCAGAGACATAATCAAGGCAATTCTGAAGACTATACACTATCCGCAAGATGGTGGGACAGATACCCACATTGTGTATCAAAATGCAAATATGCATACATTGGTTTATACCAGAAAGCATTGCTTTCTAACATCTTCTCTGACAACTATGGAAAAGAAAAGAAAGAAAAAATTGTGATGCTTCTGGCCTTGGATGAAATGTGTTTGGTATGATGAGGAAACAAATCTTGGATGCTCATATTCTAACTAGTGGCCCGGTGCACGAAATTCATACATGGCCGGGGGGGCGTTCCTCAGCATGACCTGCACCCTCTCCAATCTGGATCCCCTCGAAGGATGTCCTACTGCCGGTTTACAGGAATTGGAACTGCCCCCCCACCCCCCTCTGGCCTGCTCGCCCCCAACTGCCTTCCCCTCCTGGCCCGATCACCCCTAACCACCCCTGCCACAGCCCTGCTACCATGGCTTTGTCCAGAAGGATGTCCAGAAGGTCTCCCGGAAAGTTTCCCTGTCTAATTAGCATATTACACTTTTGTTTGTATATATTTTGAAGGGAATTGAAACAGTGTGGTTTGTCTCCAGGATTCATTTAGTGAAATAGCCCTTTCAGAATGTATTTTGTTTTGCTTGGTGGGTTTTGGTAACGCCCTCTGTCTCTTGAGAATGAAGAGTTGAGACTGCTGGAATTCAAGTGATGGCCACTATGTAACAGTCAGGTTGTCCTTTAAAAGACTAGGATTCTTGTATTGGTTATGTTTTTGCTTTGGAATAATTCACAACAAAAGTATTAGGGAATGATGAGACAGTAGGGAGGTGGTGGTAACATCTGTCATGGGGCTTTGGAACCAAGTGTGGTGGAGTGGGAAGTGGTAACATCCTGGTAAGGGTGCTGAAGCCTGAGCTGGTTGAAAGTATCTGCGGTGATTTAAATCATTACAAAAGGTTTTTTTCTACATGGAGGCAGATCATATTAACGCTTTCTAAAGAGGCAGGAAAAATGTGTTGTTTTTCCAATGAACTCATGGAACTACACCGAATGTACCTTTTTTAAATGTGACAAACTTCTAGATGTTACTATTGTGTTTTCTTTCATTAGTAAAACCTGACAGAACTGAAGGGCTTTTTTGGTGTTGGGAAGAGCAACCTTCAAAAGTAATAAGCCAACAAAAACAATCAAAAACTAATAAAACTAACTCCAGGTGTGATTGAAAGTTGATTTATATAATCATTCTGTGACTATTTTATTAGCAAAAATCTGCATAGAAAAAGATACCACAATGATAAAACAGTTTGGTATATTTCAATATAAAACTGAAAATATAAAAATAGACTTGATAAAATATTGAGACAGTTGCACTATGAAATTTATGTGTAGAACAGGAAAACTGAGAAGATTTAAAAGAAAAATTAAAGAAGGCATTCATTTCACATTCAAACTACATTTTGGAAAATCCTTTGCAAACCTTAATTGCAGTTCTCAAATACTGGATCCATACTTCCTTGAAGATGCTATAGTCTGGCAAAGTCATTAACACACCCAGCTCCAGATAAGACTCCAATTTAAGTCCAATGGCTGGGGCAACAATAGCCTCATGTCATGTTTGCTGGGAAAGGGTAGCAGATCAGAAGCAGTGCTTGGTCTCCTTTTCTCCAGGGCTTTCCTTGTCTCTAATTTGTGCCAATCATGTGGAATTAACTTCTTTGTAGCTCTCTCTCTCTCTCTCTCTCTCTCTCTCTCTCTCTCTCTTTCTCATTAAACCAAGCAGCAATACATTCTTGTCCCATACAAGATCAGACCATCCCCATAGCCAACCTCTTGTATTTGATTGCCTGCACTCTACTTGCCCCTACCACATGTTTCCAATGACTGCTGAAAAAGAATAGCAAACTATGTTGGAAAAGTGAATGACCCCTGTTAGAGAAAACCATGGATTTATTTTGTTTTATTGGCAAGATTGTTGCTCCCCCTCAGAAATAACAATAACACATACTTGTAATATAAGGTAAGCTGAAAGGAAAGGTTTCTCTCATACTTTGATATTTTTAATTTTAATATTATCTTCAGAGTTCTTTAGAGAATATTTCTTAAATTCATTTTTTGC